TTCTATTCTATTCTATTCTATTCTATTCTATTCTATTCTATTCTATTCTAAATAACCATTTAAATATGAGACAGAAGTGTGCTGCAATTGCAAAAAAGCCAACACAATTCTAGGCTTCAACAACAGAAGGAGATTATCAAGGTCACATGAAATGTCAATGTTGCTTTATACTGCTTTAATAAGACCACACTTGGAATTCTGTATCCAGTTCTGGTCATCATGACACCCAAAAGATGTTGAGACCCTGGAAAGAGTGAAGAGAAGACATACGAAGAACAGTTGCAGGAATTGGGTATGTCTCGTTTAATAAAAAGATGGCTCATGGAGTACCATGGTAGGAGTCTTTGAATATCTCAGGGGCTGTTACAAAGAAGAGGGGGTAAAGCTATTCCCCCTGTTGGAAGTTAAAACCCACCCCTCTCCTAGAGAAATGAAATATTTTAGGATACATTAAAAAGGCAGAATATTTTCGCATTTCCAATTTTGGGCAAAGGCAAGCCTTGCTGCAGTTAATATATGAAGTATAATATACTGTATAATGATTTCCGGAGTTACATCACGATGGTTCGGACATAGGAATGGCGGCTCCACTCTGAATGTCTGATTTTTCCACGTCTGGGCGCCAAACAAAGTGACAGAGGACCTTGGAGAGATCTGCGATAGAGAGGGAAATGCAAAAATACTCCCCCCAACTTTAGGATTATAAAGAAAACTTTGGAATGTGGAGAAATGGTTAGGCTGTCAATGGAACTTGAAAACAAAGAGGAGTCAGAGTGCGATGAGATCTCAAATTTATGGTACAGTTGTTTGGAAGGTAGACATGAAATGAACAAAACAAAGTCAAATAAACAGGTATGATGGAAATTAGTAACATTACATGCAATTATGTTCATAATATACAACTAGACGAAACCCTGCGTTATATATTAATGTAACAAGTGTGAATGATTATTCTACATAAGCTGAGAGACGTCAAAGGGAGTGAACACTGTCTTACTCACGTTGCAACAAGCAGAATGTTGGGTTTTATTGTATTTGTATAAATTTGTTTAATAAAGTATTTTTCTAATTAAAAAAAAAAGGCAGAATATTTCCCCTAAAAGAGAAGTAGAAACTCAGAGAGATAGAAAGTCAGCCCCCCCCCTTTGTTATGGGCCATTAAGGCCTGGGCCAGTCTATTCTACATAACAAAGATCTACCTCCTTCAGGCATAGGAATCCCAAAGCCCTTTCATTACGTCATCACCCAGCAAGTGTCAACCAAGCCTGGGATTCAAAAGACAACCTACAGAGTTGCCCCTACATGGCTCAAATTCAACTCCCAACAGAAGGCATAAAACTCTCAGCATCTCCTCCCTTTTTTCGCTCAGGAGCTCCGAGGCATGTGATCCTGTCCACCATTAAACCATCTTTCCAAGCAGTCACCATGTTTCCAGTGTCTTTCTTCTCCACTTGGAACTGCAACCCAGAAGGATATTTCTTCCAATCCTCCAAAACACCTGAAGGCAGGACAAGAAGCAACGGATGGAAACTAATCAAGGGTTAGGGTTAACAAGCTAGACCTAAAGAGGAATTTCCTGACGGTGAGAGCAATTAACCAATGGAATTGCCTTCAGAAGTTGGGAGTATCCAACACTGGAGGTTTTTAAGAAGAGACGGACAACCATTTGCCTGAAGTGGTATAGGGTTGGTTGCCTGCTTGAGCAGTGGGTTGGGCTAGAAAACCTCCAAGGTCTCTTCTAACTCTGTTCTTCTATTATTTAGTTAGGATGGTGGGAAGAGAAACCAGAAGTCTGTGGTGTCTTTTCCAACTCTTACCAAACATTGGGTCCTTATCTGCTTCTAGCTTAACAAATGGTCTTCTAGTCAAACAAATGGCAACTTCAAATCTCAACAAATAAATGCTCTGTCTTACATATTGGCAAAAAAAATATCAGAAAATAAAATACAAGCTGAATAGTCAAGATCTTGTTGATGACCCAAGCTCTGTAAAGGACCTGGGAATACTCACCTCTAATGATCTAAGTGCTAGAGCCCACTGCAACTACATAGCCAAAAAGGCATTAAGAGTTGTTAACCTAATCCTACGTAGTTTTTTCTCTGGTAATATCACACTACTAACCAGAGCATACAAAACATTTGCTAGACCAATACTCGAATACAGTTCATCAGTCTGGAACCCACATTACGTATCTGATATTAGCACAATTGAGAAAGTCCAGAAATGTTTCACAAGGAGAGTTCTCCACTCCTCTACTCGTTGTAGAATACCTTATGCCACCAGACTTGAAATTCTAGAACTAGAAAACCTTGAATTACGCCGTCTTCGGTCTGACTTAAGCATGGTATATAAAATCATACATTGCAATGTCCTACCTGTCAATGAATACTTCAGCTTCAACCATAACAACACAAGAGCAAACAATAGATACAAACTCAAGGTTAACCACACCAAACTTGATTGCAGGAAATACGACTTCAGCAATAGAGTGGTCAATGCCTGGAATACTCTCCCTGACTCTGTGGTTTCTTCCCCAAACCCCAAAAACTTTAACCTTAGACTGTCTACTATTGACCTCACCCCTTTCCTAAGAGGTCTGTAGGGGGCGTGCATAAGCGCACCAACGTGCCTACCGTCCCTGTCCTATTGTTTCTCTTATTCTTCTCTTATTTTTCTTATATGTACCCATTTCATGTATTCACAACTATGTATACACTTATACTTATTATCTTGTAAACAATTGACAAATCAAATAAATAAATAAATAAAAATAAATAACCCAGGTTTATAGCAAAAGATTCTGCAATCTGCACTTTTGACTTTGCCCACTAGAGGACGATCTTGCACTAAGAAAAACTTCAAAGCTGATTATTCTCTCTCTTTCTCTCTCCTTATTGCATTCCAAATTAGAGCTTTGTTAGGACAACTAACAACTTAGACTTAAACTAATACTTGGACAAACAGTCTTTATTCTACCAGAGCTTTGCTCCACTTTGGAAAGAGACTTTAGAAATCTCCTACTTCAGCAGTGGCTTCATCAAGCACCAGCAGCTGCGAAGGATCAATATTGATTTAGAAAACCTAGAACATAGAATAATAGAGTTGGAAGGGACCTTGGAGGTCTTCTAGTCCAACCCCCTGCTCAAGCGGGAGACCCTATACCATTCCAGACAAATGGTTGTCCAGTCTCTTTTTGAAAGCCTCCAGTGATGGAGCACCCACCATTTCTGAAGGAAACTTTTGTTCCACTGGTTAATTGTCCTCACTCTTAGGAAGTTTCTCCTTAACTCCTTGATTAGTTTCCATCTATTGATTCTTGTCTTGCCTTTTCGTGCTTTGGAAAATAGCTTGACTCCCTCTTCTTTGTGGCAACCCCTGAGATATGTTTCTCCATTCCTACTTTAGGGAAATGTAATATTCTGCCTTTTTAATACTTCTCAAAATATTTCACTCTTCTAGGAGCGGGGGTGTCTTTCCTCACTAGCCAAAGGAACCATGGGAGTGTCATTCAAGAAATCTAGAGATCTGAAGACCCATCCTTCTCTTCTCCTCCTGTCCTCCCTGTTAGGAATAACCATAGTTACCTAACGTTGTTTGGGTAAATAATATATAAACCATGATAGCAAAGTTTAAATGTGTTTTTCACTTTAAACTCTAAATGATATAATTTGGGTGCGGTTGAGAAACTGCCATAAGAGGGAGCTAGAGAACCTGGATTGCTACTGGATTGATGGTTGATTGTTCTGCGTGTTCCCTGTTGCTGACATCGAAGGAGGAAAGAGTTTTGAATGCTGCATATCTAATCTACTGTGAGAAGATATTTACTGGACTGATTTATGGGTTGACATTGTAAGTTAACTGACCTTTTTATTCGACACTGGATTTTTGCAATTGAACAATCTCCGGACTGAACTGACTGAACACTAGTGAATGATATTTGGACTGTTTGACCCTGCTACACTCTTAATGGAATAAACTATTCAACTAAGACAGTGTATCCGTTTTTACTGAGTGTGTAAACTAAAAAACGCTTTCTCTCATATTCGCCTGACTGCCTGACTGCTGTGCACATTCTGCTAGGGTATATCCCTAACACTCCCCGCATCACAACTCTTTCTGGAAGATGTAGAAGCAGCTGACGAGGGTGGCTCCCATCACAAGGACACCGCCGCTTGGTGCACTGCTGGCCCCGCCATTGTTGCAGTAATCACTTTGGCAGCATTGTGAAGAGATGTTGGATCCTTTGATTTCCAGGCCGAATCTGGAGCATTTTGGGGAGCACCATTTGCTAATCGCCAGTTCCTCCCCTAAACAGAGAAGAGCAACAAACAAGCATTGGAATGTGTGTGTGTGTGTGTGAGAGAGAGAGAGAGAGAGAGAGAGAGACAGAGACAGAGACAGAGACAGAGACAGAGACAGAGACAGAGACAGAGACAGAGACAGAGAGGCATTTCTGTATGACAGAGCACTGTATATTTTTAGCGTGGGAAACATGTATAAATTTATCTATCGGTGTTAGAAATATGGTAAAAGGTATCTTCTGTTAACTGACCCAGGTCTCCACAAAGTTATGGATTAACAGCCTCCAAAATCCTTTAAACTTACACAAATATAAGAATTAATTAAGTACTTATTTCAAGTTGTAAACCCACACAAGCCAACACAGAGAGATCAGTTAACACAATGCGAACGTAATGACGACGCTCACAGTTCAAACGAAGAGTCCCAATCCACATCCTTGGATTTAATCAACCCTGGGGTCAACCCATATACACACACACATACACTTCTCAAGTGTCACCCTAGACCCAGCATGCACAAACATCCACACGCTTCAAGACTCACAGCATGGACAAGTTCCTTTATGAATCATCCCTTCTATACCCCATTTTCTCTGTCGCTATCCCCGTGGACAAACCTCTTTGCTTTTGGTAATACATAAAAAAAAAAAACTTCTTTCCTCACATTTTCTGGATTTCATTTCCACTCAGAAGGATGGAAGGCTGGGTCAACCTTGAGCCACTCAGGATTGAACTCCTGGCAGTGGGCAGAGTCAGCTTGCAATACCGTGCATTCTACCCTACGCGAAAGGTGCCAGGTTTTGACCTTCCTTGCCAGCGTTGGTCAAGCCTGAACAGAATCCGTACCCAGAATGGTGTCTGCCAGGACTCATTGTTTAAGTGGGGTCTTGTCTCTACCCCTCAGTGTGACTGTGATGCTCCTTGACAAAATATCCATCACCTTGTGTCCGAATGTCCATCAAGAGCTTACACCGGCTCAATGTCTGATTTTTTTCCAACATAGATTGCACGAGATATGGAATAAGAAGTCCGCTCCCATAGTCTTGTGCAAACTGTTAAATCAGGGGTGGGCTTCAAATTTTTTAGCAAGGGGCTCTCTGCCCTAATAACCAGCTGGGTGGGCATGTGACTGGGTGTGTGTGGCCAACTCGACGTTGCTTCTTTGCCCTAATTACCTAAAAAAAAAAGATATATACCCAAAAGTTGTTTATTATTTCATGCATTTAATACTTAAATAAAAGACTGGATGAAACCAGGCTTAATAGCAGTGACTGTGAGAGGGATCTTGGAGTCTTAGTGAAGTTTCTGGTGAGTTGTGTGATTCTTATTATTTGGGAATTAATCCCCTCAGAGGCTAGTGGCTATGTTATCTGATTTTCTCTATGGCTCTTCCTGGCAAGCACTGAGTGGATTGTTTATCTAGCTTGCAACACTTTTACGAGGTGTGAAATGCTCTTGGCTGAATGCCCAGAAGTTCAATTAAGCCTATTAAGGGTTTTCCCTTGCTGCTTGTCTTTCTGAGGTGATTGGGTTATTGAGCCCTGCAGAGTCTTAGCTAGGGGCTCTCCCAAGCTCCTGCGAGCCCCCAGCAGCCCACCCCTGTGTTAAATCTATTCCATTGTGACCACCGCCTACCTATTTAAGTAGCAGTTACCATCAGAGGCAGCTAATACTCCACTCAACTTCACAATGCCACTCACCCCATACTCAACTCCATCGATTCCTGTGAATTTTCTTCAAAGGACAAATTCTTGTTCAAATTTTTGTCTCTCTTTTGGATTCTTGGTAGTTTTCTTTCTTAGCCTTCCATTGAAGTTGCTATTGCAGGCTCCTTCACTTCTACCAAGGAAGTGGTTCTTAGCCCCGTTGAAGTTCCTAATTACTCATCATGCATTCTGAGTCTTACCGGGTCCTTGCTGCATCTGTGACATACAGAATTTTTCCATGTCGGAGCATCTAATGGAGCTGGTACAATCTGCATGGGATTTTGCATGATCACATCTGAAACAATATAAGGACGAACCTGCATGTAGGGAAGGGAAGAGGGAAGAAAAGGAAAGGGATGGGGAAAGGAAGGAAAGGGGAGGTGTGGGGAGGGGAGCAAAAAAGTGAGGAGAGGGGACAGAAAGGAAGATATGGGGAGGGGACAGAGGAATGGGAGGAGAGCAGAGGGGTGGGGAGGAAAGGGGAGTGGAGAGAAAGGAAAGGAAGTTAAGAGGGGAGAGGAAAGAAGAGAGGAAAGAAGGGAAGGGAGAAGGAAGGGAAGAAAAGGGGTGGGGAGAGGACCAGGTGGGGAGGAGAGGGGAGAGAAAGGAAGGGAAAAGAAAGGGAAAGGAAAGGACATTTGTCAGTTGTTTTGTGTTTTCTATGGAACATTTTTGCTTACTGTAATAGATAAATTATTTATTTACTGAATTCATTTGCTGCCTATCTCATGAAACAATCCTGGGCAGCACACAACATAAAATATTAAAAGTGTTAAACACATCAATATCTTTAAAACAATTAAAAAATCCAGATAAAATTATAATTAAAAGCCGAGGAGGGAAGGAACAGGATGCATGGAGGGGTGGGTGGCATTGGTTCTTAATTTGTCAACTATCTCCAGGGTGCTGGTCAGAAGAGTGGAAGCCACTCTCACCTCAGGTGGTAAGATGTTCTAAAGCAGGGGTCACCAACCTTTTGGACCTCAGAGACCACCAAACCCATAATTTTAAATCCCAGGGACCACTAACTGGTTCTGTGGGCATGGCCTAATTTGTGGGTGTGACTTGGTGGTCATGTGACTGGCTGGGCATGGCTTGTATGTAAATATTATACATATTTAGATAAATATTGATTTTTTTTAATAAAAAAAGAGCAACTTTTACCCAAAATCAGGCAAAGCAGGCAGGCAGATTGAGTTGCTCACAGAATCATTCAGTGATCTATCTATCTGCCATCGGCTAGCTCAGTCTCTCAAATTTGCTTGCCGTGAGTCTGCACTGAATAATAGAAGCTTCAGTGCTACGGGAGGTTCAGCTGTGCTTAAAAGCAGAGCCGAAGATCTCAAGACTAGCTAGAGAGCAAGAAATCCAACCATTTCCTGCTTCCTAGCTAATCTAAATCTCCCGTCACAGCAGAACAGATGATGGTCAAAAAAAATAGCAATTTAGCAGGCAAGGTTACTGGGTAAGGAGTGAGTGGGCGGGGAGGGTTCCCGCGGGCCATGTGGGCGGTGCAGCCTTGTGTTTCTGTGCAGCCTGGATTAATTGCTTTGGGGGGGTTGCTTTGGGGGTGAGATTTCTCTGCAGCCAACCAAAATTTTCTCTCAGCCCACCAGTGAGCCACGGCCCCTCAGTTGGCGACCACTGTTCTAAAGGGTGGGAGCCATGGTAGTGAAGGCCTTTCTCCTGCCCCCCACCAGCAGATATTCTTTAGCTAAAGAGGCCCACAGCATGTCTCCTCTGCTGGTGTGGGTGGCGCAGGCCAGTCCCAGTGGAGTGAGGTGATTCCTCAAGTAACCTGGACCCAGGAGTGGGTTTCAGCTGGTTTGGACTGGTTTGGATGAACCGGATGTTAAATTTATAAATTTATATACTGGTTCGCTGAACCAGTCGTTGAACCGACTGGCTGGCCCTGCCCATCCCACCCCTCCCCTCCCAGGAGTCTCCACGTGGCTCCTTTTGGAGGCAGGTAAGTGCAGGGTCTGCGCGGAGGCTCTGGGGGGGCAAAAAACAGGCCTTCCAGAAGTCCGGAAACGAGCATGTTTCCAGCTTCTGGAGGGCCTCCAGACCCTGGAGGAGGTCATTTTCACCCTCCCAGAGGCCCGAGGCAAGCCTCCAGACTCTGGGGAAGGTGAAAAACAGTCCTCCTGGAGGTTCCAGTAGGCCACGCCCACCATGGCCACGCCCACCCAGCAACCGGGCAGTGAACCAGTTGCTGGGATTTTTGAATCCGGCCCATGCCAGGCAGGATTTTTATGGTGATAACCAACACTTTGAATTGCATCCGGAAGCAGACCCGTAGCCAGTGCAGCTTGCGGAGCAGCGGTGTAACATGGGGTCATCTCAGGGCCCCCAAGAAGTGCCCATGCTGCCACCCTGTGCCCTATTTAAGGCCTCCAAATGGGTAGCCCCATGTAGAGCACATTGCAGTAGTCCAAATGTGAGGCGACCAGGGTTTGAATGACTGACCACAGGGACTCCTTTATCCCACACTGGCTGGGGGATTCTGGGAGTTGAAATCTGCACATCTTAAAAGTTGCTAAGCTTGGGAAATGCTGGCCTGGAGATTGTGATCCAGCACAATAAAAGAATGGAGCTCACACATGTTTTGGGTGCAGGATGAGGTGTGTTTCGTGTTGTCTTGTTTCTTAGCTGTGCTACAGGTGTCCTCCACAGCATGGCCACCCTCAATCCTGTCCTGGACTGGATTTTCTGGAGACCAAAACTGAGACCGAACAGAGGCAACTCAGAATAGAAGAATAACAGAGTTGTAAGGGACAACAGGAGGTCTTCTAGACCAACCCCCTGCTCAAGCAGGAGACCCCCATTGCAGATAAATGGCTGCCCAATCTCTTCTTGAAAACCTCCAGTGATGGAGGGCCCATAATTTCCTGCAGGCAAGCTATTCCACTGATTAATTGTTCTCACTGTCAGGAAATGTCTCTTGAGTTCTAGGTTGGTTCTCTCCTTGATTAATTTCCACCCATTGCTTCTTGTCCTGCCTTAAGATGCTTTGAAGAACAGGTTTCCTCTTCTCCTCATATCACCCCTAGTCCTCCTTTTCATTACATGAGACATACCCAATTCCTGCAACTGTTCTTGATATGTTTTAGCCTTCAGCTAAATCAACTCCTAGTTCCTAGTCTAAAATATGATTATACGGCAAAGTAGAAACAATCACTTCGTTTATTAAGAGAGGGTTGATTAAACTCTCAGTTAAAGGCCCAGGATGTGTGAGAATATTATTCTGAAGGTCAAAGAACAGTGGAATGGAGTTCAATATTTGGTTACTTAAAGACACTTCCACATTGCTTATCTGTCAACAATATGGAAATACTTTGCCTTTTTCTTTGTATTGGACTTTTTTCAGTATTCCAGCACATTCTATAGTCCAAGAGATTTCCTGAAGTTCTCCCATCCAAGTATTGCCCAGGTCAGATCCCAGCTTAGCTTCAGAGCTCAAACAAGGTTGATCCAGTGCTGCCACCTGTCGATCATGGATATTGTTATGTAATATGAATTATATCTGCTGAACCAGCAGTCAAGCCAGGCTCTTGAAAAATAATACTATTTGGGGAGAACCAATCCATTAAGGACGCCATTTGAAAGCCATGGTGCTCCTAAGGAGCCCTGTGGTCTCACAATTACTAGAAATTAGAAGAATTAAATCTTCCTATGTGAGAAGTTCTATTTTTATATATATATAGCACCACAGATCAAACAAAGGGTACAGTCACCATGTGCTTTACTGCTTAACTGTAACACGAAACAGGAAACTCTACTTAGAACAAAAGAACATAGAGTATCTACCAGGCCTTTGAAACTGGCAGCCCACAGGCCAGATGTATCACATGCAGGCCATGCCCACCCCAGCTCCGCAAAAGCAAAAAACTTCACAATATGTCACGATACATAACGTGACACAATCAAGTTTGACACCCATAGTATATACCATAGATCTAAACTTGTAAACACTGCCATCTACTGGCTGAATACTACCGTAATGGTTACACAAAAATACATTCCAACAATGAATCCCAATATCCTAGATGGGAAGTCCAGCTTCTGCAGGTCCATTGCCTCTGAGAGAGTGCTTAGTTTAGGTTGGTAACATTGAAGTTGGAATCTACCTTCCTATGACCTCAGTCCATGTTTCCATCTCTTGCTTCTAGAAAGGAGGAAAACATACTTCTTCGTGACTTTCATTTGGAGTGCCATTGCTTTCTACATCTTTGGTCTTTCTTTCTAAACATTCCCAGTTTCATCAATCCATCTTCACAGGACTAAACTAATTCTGTGAAGTTTTTAAATTCCTGCTTCTCTTCTCTTCTCTTCTCTTCTCTTCTCTTCTCTTCTCTTCTCT